TGATTCCGGATCTCGAACTAGACACAGCTCGGCCCACGACCTGCTTAGGTGCCGACATGGCCTAACTAGGCTTACGGTTCGTGGATCGTGGGTCAGCCCATGAATTTTTCATCAAATCTTATTTCCTATTTTTTACCTTTTTAATTATATTAAATCGGTATTTACAATTTTAAAATTATTTCTAGTTTATTTCTTAGTAATTTAAACTTATATTAAATAATTTTTAAACTTGTATTAAATTTTTTTATCATTCCAAATAGACAACAGCGAGCTTAAAGATCGTTGCTTTATTTCTCAACGGGCCAAAAGACCCACGAGCTAAAGACCTATGACTTTTTGCCTTTGTTGACAGCTAGCTATAAACCCTAAGAGCTAAAGGAACAGCTAGAATAATCAAAAAAAATATATCATGGGCTGGGACAGGTCGGGCTGGGCCGGGTAGAGCGTGGGCTGAGCCATTGTGGTCCGGGCTTACTTCTCTGACCCCGGGTCTGGACCGGCCCGTGACCCGGAATATATCATGAGTCAGCTCTGAAAATTCCCTAATGCCACTAGAAAAGAACCGGGGGGGGGTTGAATAGGGTTTATGCTGATCTAATCCGATTTAAAGCTAATTAAAACTAATTAACAATACATCCTAGCAAGATTGATAAATTACAAATATATGTGCAAGGATATACAAGTAACACAAGGGTAAACAAACTACTAAAGTGATAGGGCAATATAAACAACACGCAATTGACAAAGGCGATATAAATGATAAGCATGAATATAAAGGAACGCCAATGACAAATGCAAACAAACGATATGATCACAGAGTTCGGTCCCCACGACCTACGTCTCCGCTCCTCACCTCGAGGAGATCTCTACTATCACAACCGGGTTTTCTACGCTCACCCGAATAACGTTTACACCTCACACTCGGTTTTTTAGTTCACCGAAAACTTTACAATTCACACTCTTACAATCACACTCACTACTACCTCAAGTGTTGGTCTCTAGCCCATGTCTCCCTCAAGTGTTAAGAATTACAACCTACCTCTAGGCATTACCACCTACCCCACTCCTCTTGGGACAACCACGTCTCTCACCACACACTCCTCTCGGTGTACAAGTGTATTACAAAGTGTTCAACACAATTAGGCTCACAATACAAATAAATTTGTTCTCTACAATGGATGAGAACATAATGTAAGCTCACACTCTAAGTCACACAATCCCACAACCCAATTATACAATGTATGCAAATACAATAAGCTCAATGGTTGTGTGTGTAAACAAAGAGTAAATAAAATAAACTAAACTCAATATAAACACTAGCTTAATAAAATGATAATCAAACAATATAAATATAAAACTAGATTGAGTTTAGGGAAACTTCTCTATAGATAACAAGAGAGAGGGAAAAGAGTGAATGCTCAAACACCAATAGATGATCTCCACTTGCTCTCGTGAAATTGTCTTCACAAACAAAACGCTTAAACAAGGCTTAAACACCTTTAAACAAACTAAACAAACTTTTAAAACCCTTGTAAAACTTTTCTCTTAAGTTCATAAAACTGAGGATATGTGGGGGTATTTATAGGAACCCTAAAGCCAAGAGAAAACAAGGCAAAAAGACCAAAAAACCAAAACTGTAAAAAGCTAAAAAAAATTAGCCGTTATAGCATCAGTCGACTGACGGCTTTCATCAGTCGACTGATGAGCTGACCGTTAGAGACATTTTCCAGCTCATCAGTCGACTGACGACCTTATCAGTCGACTGACGACCTTATCAGTCGACTGATGATCTCATCAGTCGACTGGTCAGTCGACCAAAACAAAACAGAAACTTTTTGATATTCTAGGCGATTTCTTCAGTCGACTCATCAGTTGACTGATGTCATCAGTTGACTGACCAGTCAACTGATAACAAGTTATCAGCCTGTTTTGAAACAGAAATCTGATTTTCAAACCTCTTTTATAAATAACAAATAAAATCAGAAAAATATAAAACTTTGGGAAATGATTATAAACATGATAATATACATGTTACAAAAACTGGTTTTCAAAATACACTTCCCATTTGAGAAATCTCTTCATTTTACAAAATGGTTCAAAACATGAAAATGAAACATACTTGTTTTGTCATTTTGACTAAACCATGTTTTGAAAACTTTATAAACTGATTTTATAGACTTGATAAAAGATACAAACTATTGTTGTTAAGTCTATAAACTAAAAGCTCAATATTATGCAAAAATGAAGTTTTGCACAATATGCATTTAACAAAATGATAAATATGAAACATGTATATATATATATGTAAACAATAATATAGGTTTCATATTTATATAAACTTGTAAACTATAAAACCAAAACTTGTGTACATATACATAACTATATATATACATAGAAACCAATAAAATATGTGTATATGATATTGAGTTTAGAGTACTTA